GTAGGGTCCTGGAGGCAAGAGGCAATACTGCATGGTGGGTCAGAGAGTGGACGCTGGCTCTGTTGTTTTCTGGCTGTGTGTTCTTCGGGAAAGGGACTTAGCCTCTCTGTTCTGTAGTTTTCTCATCTGCAAAATGGGGATAGTAGTTAACTCCTAGGGTGGTTGCAGGACCAAGGCAGCATATGTTGCAGTTCTGACTGGGGTGGCCAGTCCCTGCAGAGAAGCAGGTGGATGAGGTCAGGGTTGGATCTACTAATGTACAGGAGGCAGCTGCGTGTACAGGTTTGAAGCTGAGGCGATGGTGATTTGGTTAAAACCGTGGGCTTGGGTTTTGTTATCCAGGGAGCCAGTATAGAATGAAAGGAGAAGAGGGCCAAGGATGGAGCCTGGGAGGCTGGGAAGGGGAAGGTGGAGGGAGGGGAATCAGAAGATAATGAGTAGAAGTGGCCTGAGCAACCCAGGGCATCGTGGGAGCATGGAGTCACTACATCGCATCCAGCCCCAGCGTTTAAAGAAGGGAGTGGCTACAGTGTGAAAGGAGGCTGAGAGGTCAAGTGTGACAAGTACTGTGAAAAATTCATTCTAGTAGGTAATGTATGTTTGACATTGATGACGTTGGTTAGAGCAGCATGAGGAGGGTGGCTGGGGAGAGGGGCCAGGAGCCAGATTACAGAGGTTTGGGCTGAAGTCGGAGGGGAGGGCGTGGAGGCTGGCTAGGGTAGTGGTTACAGGCTAGTCTCAAGGGTCAGACCACCTGGGTTTGGATTCCAGCTTCACTACTTATTAGTTGTGTAACCTTGAGCAAGTTGCTTACTGTTTTGTGCCTCAGCTTTTCATCTGTAAAATGAGGACATTGACAGTAGCTTGCTCATGAAGTTATTGTGAAGATTAAATGAGCTGGTAAGTAAAGGGCTTAGAATAGTTCTGCACACATAATGCTGCGTGTATTAGCTCTTTTTGCTGTTATTGTTACTATTATTATTGGTGATGAGAAAGGGGAGGAGCAGCTGCTGGAAGGAGATGTGGGAGTCAGAGAGGTTTGTAATGCTTTAGTAACAAGGTGGATTTGATTGCCTGCATTGCCGACGCGGTCGGCCAGGGTGGTGGTAAATCTTGGAGTACGGTGGGCAACTGGACCAGGTGTCAAAGTCTTCAGTGCTTGAGCGGTAGCAGCCAGAAGGCCGGGGGATGTCAGCTGCAGGAGGGGGAGAGCATGATATGGTCAGTGGAATGAGCATGAAAAGAGCAGAGGTTTTTACAAGACGGCAGAGGAACACTGACCCTGATGTGGCAATAAATAACAATAGCCATAACGATTATTTTTATTACCCTGGAAAGGGCAATGGGGAACAAGAAGAACGCCAGCTCTTTCTCCTTGGATCCATCCTTCACTTTGCAGCTATGTGTTCATTCATTAAGCACCTGTCTACGGAGTTTCTGAATGTGCCAGCGATGGTGCTGGGCGCTGGGGATGTGGTGATCAACACCTCAGCCCTGTTCCTGCCCTCACGGAGCTGACTGGCTAAAGGGGGAGACAGGCGTTAAACAAATAACCAGTGCAGGTCATGAATCAATACAGATTGGATCATGTCACTCCCCTATTTCAAAATCTTTATTTGCTCTCCACTGCTTGGAATAAAATCCCGACTTCTAAGTATGGTTCTGCAGGATCGGGCCCCAGTCCCACCTCCGGCAGCTTTCTTGGCCACCGCTCCTCCTAGGACTGCTTGCCGTTTCCCAGACTGACTGTAACATCTCCATAGCCCCCTGCCTCTGCTCATGCTGTCTGTCCACCTGGCAGGCTCCTGTGGAGCCTTCAAGGTCCAGCACAAACGTATCTTCCTTTGGGAGCTCTTTCCCAGTCACTGTCACTCTCTCTGCCATGTTCCTAGAGCACCTTGGATTCTCCTGGATTGCAGCACTTCAGTATAGAATCATAAAGGGCAGGGAGGCTCCAGTGGGAGAATGTCATGATACAGGCTCCGAGTTAGGAATGGGCATGGTGTAGGGCACTGGGAGGGGACTGTGTCGGGAGTGGGAGATGCTCTTGGTAGGCAGAGCACCCTGTGGCTTGAGGGGATGCCTTGAGGGCCTGGCCGAGCTTTATGGAAAGAACATTATGGAAAGTTTGGGTTCTGGGAGTAGGCAGTATGTCCAGGGTGCCAGTATTATGAGAGTTTCTTATTGGAGATTTACATCTGGTGGAGAATCATTCCTACCTGAATGGGTGAAGCCAAGGGTGCCAGCAAAATGTGTGGGGGAGCAAGTGATCAATCGGCAGCTTCAGTCTCCAGCAAAATGGAGTTATAAATCCCAGCTGTGGGAGGAAGGCAGTTCTGAGGCCCAGAAGAAGCTGTTTGAACCTTCCCTTAGGAGTGCACTATCACTGCTTGAGGTGGGACTCACCTCCATATCTACCTTCTTTGTATCTGAGATAAATCTCAAAGCCCTTTGCTGGGGCCTCAGTGGTGGCACATGAAAGGGATCCCTATAGGTGGTGGTGGTGGTGGGGTGGTTTCTGCTCAGAACACTGCCCAGGGGTAAGGGTGGCCTCCTTGGGGCAGGGTCTTAGAAATCCAGCTGTTCCACCTCAGAGCCTAAAAGGCAGTCAGATGGCAGCTGTTGGTCACCACCCATGATGCTGCCTCTGCCTGAGCTTGATAGGTAGAATCGCAAGATTAGGCTGGGGCCACAGTGAGGCCCAAACGTGGCCTCTCCACCAGAAAGGAAAGTGCAGGGGAAGAGCTGCCCGGGCAGAGGATAGGGGGATGCCAGACAGAGAAAGACAGGCGAGAATATTTATAGCAGCCAGAGTTAGAGCTGTGGGAATGCTGAAGCCATTGTCAGCAGAGGCTGGGAGGGCCAGCAGGCCTCAGCCAGGGATCCAGCCTGCGATCCCAGTGGGTGCGGGCAGTTAATCTCCGAAGGCCAGAGTCACCACAACTAGCGAGCAGGAACATTGAACTTTTCAATCACATTAATTTCCACAGGAAATTGTTGTCTTCCTTTTGTCCAAAGGTTAGTGATTTATATTTACCATCCTCTTAACTAGCCTTGAAATTTACTGTTGCCAGGTCACCACCGGCATCCATAAATCTCAGGGTGGCAGCTGAGCATAGCCAAGTGGCTTGGTCCTTGGAAGGTACACGCTGGCCCTTTCATGAGGGCAAATAACTAGCTGCAAACAGTTCCTGCACAGGGGGTGGGCACTCACTTCACGGGGGGAAATGAGATGAGATCTATTCAGCAAGGTTGCAGGGAGGCCTTTTCAAAAGCAGCCATGAAGGAGGCAGCTGGGCTTGTGCCTTTTGGCATATCACTGAAGGAGACACACCGCCGATGTGGACAGGGGCCTGTGGCGTGGAAGGTGTTCAAGTACCTTGGGGTGGGGAGAAGAGGACAGATTCCTGGGTCTACACTACCTGTGTGACCTTAGGCAACTAACGTAACCTGTCTGTGCCTCTGTTGCCTCATCTATAGTAATAGTTCTAAACCTCAATAACTATTAAAACAAAAAACTCAGTTGTTGTTGAGGTGAATCTGAATCATGGAAACCCTGTGGGTGTCAGAGTAGAACTGTGCTCTATAGGGCTTTCAATGGCTGATTTTTTGGCAGTAGATCGCCAGGCCTTTCTTCCTAGGCATCTCTGTGTGGACTCAAACCTCTAACTTTTCAGTTAGCATCTGAGCACGTTAACTGCACTACCCAGGGACTCCTCAGTAATTGTAGGCTATTATTATTCTCTGGCAGGACAGGTTTGGTGTGAGCCAGAGTCCATTTGCCCCACTGTTCTATCTGTTTCTCCTTCTAAAATCTTTTTCTTCCATATGCTCATGGAATTAGAACAGGGTTGGCAACTTTTTCTGTAAAGGGCCAGTAAATATTTTAGGCTTTGCGAGCCATACAGTCTCTTGCCACTACCCAGCTCTGCTGTTTGGATGTGAAAACAGCCATAGATAACATGTAAATGATGAAACATGGCTGTGTTCCAATAAAGCTTTGTTCATGGACACTAACATTTGAATTTCATACAGTTTTCATGTGTCACGAAGTATTATTCTTCTTTTGACTTGTCATGGATTGAATTGCGTCCCCCCAAAAAATGTGTGTATCAATTTGGCTAGGCCATGATTCCCAGTGTTGTGTGGTTGTCCTCCATTTTGTGATTGTAATTTTACCTTAAAGAGGATTAGGGTGGGATTGTAACACTACCCTAACCCAGGTCACACCCCTGATCCAATGTAAAGGGAGTTTCCCTGGGGTGTGGCCTGCACCACCTTTTATCTCTTGTAAGAGATAAAAGGAAAGGGAAGCAAGTGGAGAGTTGGGGACCTCATACCACCAAGAAAGCACTACTAGGAGCAGAGCGCGTCGTTTGGACCTGGGGTCCCTGCGTGGAGAAACTTCTAGTCCGGGGGAACATTGATAAGAAGGCTGACAGAGAGAGAAAGGCTTCCCCTGGAGCTGACACCCTGAATTTGGACTTTTAGCTTACTTTACTGTGAAGAAATAAATTTCTCTTTGTTAAAGCCATCCGCTTGTGGTATTTCTGTTATAGCAGCACTAGATGACTAAGACATGACTGGTTTTTTTTTAACCATTTAAAATGTAAAAACATTTTTAGCTTGCAGACCACACAGAAACAGGCAGTAGCCTAGATTTGGCCGGTGGGTGGTAGTTTGCTGACCCCTGGATTAGAAGATGGAATTGCATGGAGAGTGTTCACTTCGCACCTGGGCTATATCTTTGAGCCGCTAAAGGTGCCTCACGTGGGTTTTCCCAGTGACCTCCAAGTGCTTCCTGAGTGGCCTGCGGAGAGCCAGTTGGGGCAGAAGGGCAGAGGAAGGAGCCCTGTGGGAGCCTGGGGCCCAGGGACTGGTGGGATGCCTGGGCCTGACACCCGTTGGTTCCCTGTCTGCAGCTGGAGTGGTGCTAGCTCTGGATTGGCCAGTCACCCCCACCCTAGCTCCACTGCTGACAGCCCATGTCTGTGTTTCAGAGAGCAGCCCAGAGCAAGGGAGGAAGGAGGCTGGGACTCGACAGCCTGTGGTGATTCTCTTGGGCTGGGGTGGCTGCACAGACAAGAACCTTGCCAAGTACAGCGCCATCTACCATAAAAGGGTGAGTACTGCTGGCATGCAGATACCCAGTGAGCTGGGGCCCTGCCACCTGTGACCGTTCACAGGGAACTCTGAGCTTCTGGCTCTTGTCACCTCTGGTATGCAGCAAAGGCTGGCCACCCATGAGGCAGGCCTGGAAATGGCACCAAGATCAGCCTGTGGGGAAGATGACGGAGCCATGTAGACTTTGGCAAGATTATCCCCACTTTGCTGCCAGTTCTGTGGTCTGGCCTGGCTCTTTCAACCCTTTGACCTGCTTCCCTTCCTCCCTGCACTCCACAGTGGTCAGCCCAGCCTCTGTGTGCTCCCCAGTTGTGGAGTGTGCTCCCTGTGGCAGCAGGAGCCTGGCTGGTTGTGCTGGGTGGAGCCAGTACTCCTAGGACTTTCTCCTCTAACCAGGTGAGTTTCTGTCTTAGGGTGGACCATGGCACCTTTCATATTCCCAAAGTGGAAGGGTCTCTTGGAAAAGTGATCCAGGCTTGAAGTGTTCATGCTTCTTCTTAGGCCCCACCAAGACTTGGATGTAAAAGTGGTGGTAATTGGAGAGGGGCCTGAGGAGGGCCTGGTTATCTTTTCAAGTCTTTGGTCTCTGGCCTTGCCCTTCCTTCCTCAGCCCAGACCTCTCCAAAGCAGCTTCCTTCCAGGGTACCAGTGGGAGCCCTGGGCTGAGGAGGAGTGGGAGTCATCTGGGAAAAAGGCCAGCTGATGCCTGGCAGCTCCAGTACCCCCACCCACGAGTCAGCCTCCTTCATGCCACCGACCCATGTCTGCACCCTACCCAAGCTGTGTAGTGGACCTGGATGGGAGTGGGTTATCCAACCAGCAAGTCCTCTGATGTCAACTTTTATAGGTTGCCTACTCTGCAGATAGTTTCAGCTATTCTGAATTCCACCCACTGAGCTAGGCTTGTTTGTCTGGTCTCTTCACTAGGCTAAGATCCTGAGGGCAGGCAGAGGAATACCCGTTGTTGAGTGTGACTAGAACAGAGAATAAAAGAAAGGGCAAGGGTCAAGAGGCAAGGCAGTGGAGGTGGGGGGTCCTCAGGGGATTAAGCAGGGGTGTGGTGTTAGAAAGCTCCTCCATGCAGAGTGGGGGAAGGATTGGAAGGAGGGAAGTGAGTTAGGAGGAGTTGCTGTGACCCAGGACAGAGTGTGGCCAGGACCCTGAGGCTGGTGATGCAAGCGGAGGGAAGTTGATGGACTGAGGAGCTTGTTAGGAGGTAGGATGGTAGTTTAATGAGAGATTGGGTGTGGGGCTGAGGGATAGGGAGGGGGTCCAGGATAATTCCAGGCTTTTGGCTGGGCAGTTTCTGGGTAGAGAGGAATAAGTTGTTTGCGATAGGGAGCACTAGAAGAGAAGCCCTAAGGCTGTGGGGTGGATGAGATTCCCCAGAGAGAGTATAGAGGGAAAGGAGGAGAGTGGTTGATGAAGAGGGTCCCACAGATGAAAGGAGGTGTGCAAAGATGGACAAGAAACCCAGGAGAGTATGACAAATCCACAGAAAGAGAGTCTTTGGGAAATGGGCCATTGTGGAGAGAGAGTAGAGATATTATTGGGACAGAAGACACGGGAGAAGAAGGTGATGGAATCGGATCCCAGGGAAGGCAGAGGGGTCGAGGGTTGCCGGGCTGGTGGAGGGTAGGCTTGGAAACGAAGGGGGTGCCTTCTGGTAGGGAGGACAGGATGGCTATGGAGAACTTTGTTTTCCCAAGTCAAAACTCCTAATATTTTATTATTTAAAAGAAAATAAAAATACCGTATTCTACCATTTAGAGATTACCTCTGTTTACACCTTAGTAGTGGTTAAGAGCTCAGCTGCTAACCAATAGGTCGGCAGTTTGAATCCACCAGCTGCTCCTTGGAAACCCTATGAGGCAGTTCTTCTCCGTCTATAGGGTTGCTGTTGAGTCAGAATCGACTCGACGGCAGTGGATTTGGTTTTTTGGAGGGTTTTTGTATCCTTCCAGCTCTTTTTCTATGTGTACATAAGTATCTTTTTTTTTTTTTTTTTGGCTAAATGAGATCTACTGTTTTGTATCCTGCTTTTTTTGGATCATGATCTCCACTTTCTCATGTTAATAAATTTTCATCTCATCTAGTTTCCCATCTATATTCAGATTCCCCAACTGTCCCCAAAGCGTCCTTTACAGCTGATTTGCCCAAACCAAGATCCAGTCCCAGCCCACAATTGCATCACATTAATTTGTTCCTTAAGCCTCTTTTAAATCTCGAGCAGTCCCTTTCTTCATGACATTGAGTCACTGAAGAGCCCTGGCTGCAGGAGACTGTTTCAAGGAGTATGTGGTCCCGAATGCTGCTGGAAGGAAAGTAAGATGGGGACTGAAAGGCATCGGTTAGGTTTGACCAGTTGGGAGAACATGGGTGACTTGGTAAGAGCAGTGCCAGAAGGAGTTGGGCAGAGGTCAGATTGTAGTGAGCGGGAGGGGACGAAGTGGAGAGTGTGAGCGTTAAAGTGATTTCTAGAAGTTTGTCTCAAAAGGTGAAGAGAGGGAGGTGTGTAGTTAGAACAGTGTAAAGGCTGAGCTTTTGGGTGAGATTTGTTTGAGGAGCAATCTGGAGAGAGGAAGAGACTGAAAGTATAGGAGAGTGAGGGGAGGACTGGAGGAGCAGGGCCTTGACCTGGGACCAAGTGCAGAGATGGAGAGACAGTTGGCTTGTGGGTGGGGTGGGAAAGAGACTAGGATCTGGCGTGCAGCGAGAGCCAGGCCCTTGGCATAAGGACTTCTAGGAGTAGCTGACTGGGGAGGTGGCAGCAGAGATGCTCAGATCCAGGCTGTAGGGATGCCTGGTGTGTGTGTGTCCATTCATGGGGAGTGCTGGGTGTTTACAGGGCGAGCTGTGCACCCTCTGAGCGCTGAGTGCTCAGAGAAGGATTGTGTATGGCCTTATAGGTGGCGCGTTTACAGGAATTGCTGGGTTTCTATGTGCACCAGTAAATAGTTCTGCAAGTGAGTGCTTTTGGGGTGGGTTGTGCGTGTATGCATGTATGTGTGCAGGTACAGGGCTGTGTCTACCCTTGTAGGTAGTGCTGCCGATGAGATAGGCAGGGCAGATAGTGCTCACTGCATCCAGACTCGTAGGGAGGGCTGTGTGTGTGCTCTGGTGGTTGGAGGTATGTGTGTACATTTGCAGAAGGTGCAGTGGATCTGTGCATGTCATCCCAGAAGTATTGTGTGTCCATGTACTGATAGGCATTGCTGCAGACATGTAATCACAGTAATACTGTATGATACCGTGTGAGTGGCCATAATCCCAGAAAGTGCCGTGTGTATGTGTGTGCGAGTGTGTGAACGTGTGCACACTCCTGAAGTTTGTGCAACATGTAGGTGTGTACCTGCCAGTGCTGTGTGTACTTGTGGGTATGTGTTAGTGGCTGTATGCTTCTTTGTGCACTTACAGGTGTAGACTGGAGGGTGGTGGGTACCGCGTGTCTGCATCCGTGGAATGTGAAGTGGGTGGGTTTTGTTTAGTCCCAGGAGTGCTGTGTGTGGTGGTAGTGGTGATATGGGAGTGTGGCGTTTGTGGGCAATGCTGTGTGTAGGTTGGAGGGGGTGTGTGGGAAGACATTCCCCATCCCTCTGGGAAGTTAGAGCAGGGCACTTAGTGAAATTTCTCAGAGCTAAGGGGCAGGCAACATCAGTGACCCTTTCCTCAGAGTCCCTGGAGGGATGTGTAGGTACCCCAGGGCTATTACTACTACCACCAGTAATTACTGCTATTATAGGTTGAGTTTATTTTGTGTTAAGTGCTGTTTTGGGCACTTGAAGTTCAGTTTTTCATTTAACTTTCACCAAAACCATGAGGTAAATGTTACCCCAATTTACAGATGGGGAAATTGAGATTCAGAAAGGTGAAGTAAACTGCTCTTTGTCCTTGCTGTTAATAAGTGGTAGTGTCAGGAATTGAACCAGACCTGCTTGATCCCAGGGCCTGCCCAGCTCAGACTCCCCTGACAAAGGGGCCCTTTGTCTCTGGAACAGGAAAATGAGAGGAGATTAGGACCCAGGCACGGCTGCTTTGGCTCCCTTCCTAATAGGTCAAAAGGGGGCCTGACTGGAGATTTTCGAGCACACTTGACCCAGGCATTGAGGGGTACAGAAGCCTAGAAGGGTTTGGGCCTAAATTTTAAAATTTGAGAAGCAACACTGATCACTGTATTTGGAATTTCAGGGCAAGTGGGAGGAGTGATCCTAGGCTTTGAAGCCAGACAGACTTGGGTGTCAGGCCCAAGGCCAGAGCGTGGACTCAGTGGCCAGAGACTGACGTGATACAGGCCTGGCTCAGAAGTGGCTGCTGGTGGTCAGGGCCAGGACCTGCAGCCTGTGTCTCAGGTGTTGAGTCTCATGGAGGCATCTGTGTGTGTCTGAAGGGCAGCTACTTATAGGGAAAGTGCAGACAGAGTCGCTGCAGCAGGAGGTAGCCAAGTGGTGATGGCTTCAGTATGAAAGAGTTGGGCAGATGAGGCTGCCAGGTGTAGACAGGCTCCACAGGCCCTCTGGTGGGGGGAGACAGGGAGTGAACCAGAGTGAGGAGATGACTTCTGGTCAGCGCAGGTGTCTCCAAAGCATGCTCTGGGTTCCAGACCTCAGATACCTCCCCAGCCTGAGGGGGCTTGGCCAGCATGAAACGTCTGTTCCGAAAACTGGCCTCGGATGTGCCTTCCACTCCCAGAAGGCACCTGTGTCTGTGAGTGGTGAGCTGCAGCCAGGCTGAAGCAGGGCCTGGAGCATTGCTGGGCTCAGTGGGCCCTGTGGGAGTTGGGGTTGTTGGACCCCTCTGACCTTAGCTCGTAACCCACCCAGCCCCTGTCCCTGAGGACCGACTGGCCCTCTCTCCTCTCCCCAGGGCTGCATTGTGATCCGATACACAGCCCCATGGCACATGGTCTTCTTCTCCGAGTCCCTGGGCATCCCTTCACTTCGTGTTTTGGCCCAGAAGCTGCTTGAGCTACTCTTTGATTACGAGATTGAGAAGGAGCCCCTGCTCTTCCATGTCTTCAGCAACGCCGGTGTCATGCTGTACCGCTACGTGCTGGAGCTCCTGCTCACCCATCGGCGCTTCTGCCACCTGCGTGTGGTGGGCACCATCTTTGACAGCGGTCCTGGTGATAGCAACTTGGTGGGGGCTCTGCGGGCCCTGGCGGCCATCCTGGAGCATCGGCCTGCCGTGCTGCGCCTGCTGCTCCTGGTGGCCTTTGCCCTGGTGGCAGTCCTGTTCCATATCCTGCTCGCTCCACTCACCGCCCTCTTCCACACCCACTTCTATGACAGGCTCCAGGACTCAGCCTCTCGCTGGCCCGAGCTCTACCTCTATTCGCGGGCTGACGAGGTGGTCCTGGCCAGGGACGTGGAACGCATGGTGGAGACACGCCAGGCACACCACGTCCTGGTGCGCTCTGTGGACTTTGTGTCATCTGCACACGTCAGCCACCTCCGTGACTACCCTACTTACTACTCGAGTCTCTGTGTCAACTTCATGCGCAGCTGTGTCCAATGCTGAGCTCTGGGCCTCCCCTCACCTCTGCTCCAGAAATAAATGCCTGACACCTCCCCACAACCTACATCGTGGGGCCCTCTTCTGGTTCAACTCTCTGTGGTCATTTGGGACTTTGTGGTCCCCCAAGTAGGAAATTCCCATTAGCCTCTGTCTTGGGAACTACTGGTAGTCTGCCTACCCCAGGATCCTAGGGGGTGGGAATACCTGGGCATGTCTCTGTGGGAGCCTTGCAGTTGGTTGTATTTCGACAAGCGCAGGTCAGGTGAGGCTGCTGATCCCTGTGGCATTTAGACTATAAAGGGCTATCGAAGAGGGGAGGGTTGAGGATGAGCCTGAGTTGATTTTTGATTCCGTGAATGGAAGGTGAGCTTTGTGGGAGGTGCCAGAGGGTAGGGTCAGTCTGGAGGCAGGGGCTACGATCTATGCTCCAAGGCCCCAGAAAGGCAAAGCTGTACAGCATAAAGCCCCATTCCCATGGGTCCCACTTGGCATTTCTTTCAGAGGCTTCTCTGACCTCATTGCCAGGGAGTCTCAGGTTGAAGCCTGGTGAGAAGCTGAGGATGCAGCATGAGGGGCCTGTCCTGGTTCATGAACCTTTGCTAGGAAGTCACTGGATTCAGAAAGTTGCAAGCTGTGTGCATATTGGGCAGATGGAGTAGGGAGCAGGAAGGCAGCAGTGCTGTAATGGGAGCTGGGGCAAGCTAACTTGAGCCCTTGGAGACCAGCACCAGGGTAAGGGGCCTTTTGGCTGAAACAACAAACTCCTTCATCTCCTTGAGGGACACCCACTTGGATACCCTCAAGGCAGAAGGGCTGGCTTCAGCCTTATATGTCTATCATCTATCATTCTATAAGTCATGCTGGACACTGCTGGAACATAGTAGGTATTCAATAAATACTTGTTGATTGAATGAGCTTACTGTGGTGATCAAGGGGCTTGGTGACTGGACTGGGCTTTGAAAGTTTGGCAGGCATGTGAAGGAGATGGCTAGACAAGCTCTGGGTTAGGGGTGGGAGCTGACCCCGATATGCTCAGGGATGACTGACCCTCAGTCCCCAGAGCCAAGCTCTATCTGCATCAGCCCTCTGGAGTCCCCACTACTGCTGCAGCCAATTCCTATGCTGGGTGGATGCATTCCTAGCCACAGCCAACAGGTGGCACTGCTGCCTGTGCCATGAGTGCTCAAGGATCCCACAGCAGGATGGGCTTCAGTGGAATGCCCTCACTCTGGGTTAATGTCCCCTATTAGAGAGCATATGGCCCCCAGGGTGGGGGTAACCATCATCAAGAACCTACTGAACCCAAGGCAGGGAAGGGGAGAGTAGAGACCTAAAAGGAGCCAGCCTGATGGGAAGCGGGCATTCAAGATCCTCCCTTTCATCTCTCCACTGCCCTCATCCCCTACCCACTTTTCTCAACCTGCATCTTTCCCAAGCCCTCAGTCATCCATCACTGGGGCTGCTCCACCTCCACAAAGGCCACACACATTCCCTAGCATCTCAGGCCCTAGAATCTTTGTGTTCAGGATCCTTGATGCCATCAAGCTGGGCATGAGAGACTGAGGGCCTTCTCTGGGCTCCAAATAGGGTGACTTGTCCCCCGTACTTCATCTGGGTGCAGGGGGAGGCAGGAGCTGCCAACTGCACCCAGTTCTGTAGTCCTCACCGGTGGGCATCCCAGAGATGGGTCTACGGCTGGGGATTTGGGATGACAGCAGTTGGGCCTGTGTATGAAAATGTGCACAGTAAAGGAGTCTGCAGTCATGAGATACTCTAGGGTCTTGAACTGTAGCTGAATCTGTTTTCTCAAGACAGCTTTCCACTGCAGGTGAGGAATCATCTGCAGCTCTGAGCACCTGCCTGAGAGGCGTCAGGATACTGACGCACCTCACTGGCACTGGGAGCGCAGAAGGTTCTCAGCAGTGGGGGTGATGGATGTGACAGTGCTACCTGGTGCTAGCTGCCCAGCCTCGGTTCCCTGACTTCAGGGTCCATCTCCAACAGGGACTGCTGCTATTTCCATTTGAAGATCCAGGCAGTAGCTACATGGGGCTGTTGGGCCATGGATGGAGATGGAGAAAAAACACCACAGGGAGCTGAGACAGTGATCCCATTTTAGTCCCTGGCACATTTCAGGGGACTACAAAGGGAGAGGCCTGGGGCTTGTGTTTGTCTTCCAAGCTTGTAGCTACTCCTGACCTAGGTTGGGGGATTGAGCTTGCATCCCCTCTGTACCCCCAAGCTCTGACCTCTTCTGTGATTAATGAGCTGACGATTTTGCATCGATAAGGAATTAACCTGGAGCCCCCAACCCATCAATAGTCAGGACCCTGGACCTCCCACCCCCACCCTAGTCTGAGTGCTCCAGGGCCCCTGATCAGACCAGCCCTGCCTAGCTTTACACATCATAGCAAGTGTCTCATCCTGCTGCCAGGATTAACCCCTTTACTGCTCTGTCTGCCCCCATCACCTGCCCCTCCCTACACACACATACAGGCATCAGCTGTTTATATCGGTTTAATCCATGTCAAACGTAGTTTACAAAGGGAAAGGACAAGTACCTTTGTATAGAATATACAGACACAGCATCACACCATAGGGCCCACATTGGGGGTGGGGGTGGGGGTGGGGAGGAAGAGTAACTTATCCCTGGGAACAGCAGCTCTAATCCCGGGAACAGTTCTTGGCAGAAGGCTGGCAGCCAGGAGCACCATCATCCAGTCCCAATATCAGCCCCTGCTTCAGCTCGGTTTCCCATTTCCTGCCCCTCCCCAACTCCTTATAAAGAGCCCCATGAGCTAAGACTAAGGAGAGGATCATGTCCCTTGGGGCATGTGCCCCATGTCTGGGAGAAGAAATATACACCACTGAACACCGAGCACGTGGGAGAGGGAAGGGACACCATAGGGGGGAGGCAGGCAACCCAAGAGGCGGATGGGCCGAGCCCCCAGCCAGCCCTGAAGGAGGCACTGCTTCAGGTGTTCTTAAAAAAAGAAAATCATACAACCAAAGGGAGAGGAGGAGGGTTGAGGGGGAGGAACTGTCCCATTTATACACAACGTTGTAAACATACACGGTCTATATTACATGTGCTTCAGTCTGGTGTTTGCATGTCTGTCCGTCTGTCAGTCTGGGGGCTGGATCTCAGGAGCCATGTCCCCCTACTCCCCCACCCCTGCCCCACCCTGGGAACGGCCTGGAACAGGTATGGTTCCTAGTTTTGGTGGGGTCCGGCAGGCAGGGCCTGGGCCTCAGCCTCAACTCTGGCTCCAGAGTCCTGTGTGTATATGTGTATGTGTGTGCGAGAGTATGTGCATGTATGTACATGGGCAACCTGTGTGCAAGTATGTACAAGGGGAGAGGGTCACTGTCACAGAGGCTGGGGGCAAGTGGGGCTGCTCCAGGCAAGGCCTGCTGGGGGTAGCAAGCTCACAAGTAGATCCTCCGCAGGTCTCCGGGCGCTGTGATCGTGTTGCACTGAGGGCAGAGCTTCTTGGCACCCTGTAGGAGAGCAGGGAAAGCTTGGGTTACACAGTGTGCCACAGGTTTGCCCACGTGAGCACCTGGGCCTGCAGCCATGTCTCCTGCATCAGTGCGGTGTGCGAGGCCCTGGGTCCTCTCAGCCCAGGCTGAGGATGCACAGGCGGCCTCTCGAGCAGGCAGGCAGGCAGGCTCCTGTGTTGAGGGGGTCGCCAGGATCAAACCGCCTGGCCAGCCCCGCAGCGGGGGCCCCGGTAATGAGAACAAGGCTGCGTCCAGCTGTGGCTGCCGTGGCCCTAACGAGATTACACGCGGCCTTTGATCAGGACACAAGAGCCCACGTCCGGGCCTTTTATTGCTGTCTCCGGGCGACATTTTAATGGCTGCTCCCGAGTGAAGAAAAGGGGCAGGAGCAGAAGGAGCTTAGGAATGGGAGGGGCTGAGGCCCGGGTCCGCTTACCCTTACAACCGGCCTCCTCCTAACCTGGGGTCTCACCAATCTGTGTGATACAGTGAGCCCTCTGGGGGTGGGGGCAGGGAGAAGGAGAAAGTGAACCCATGGAGGGGGAGGATTTAATAAACCTGGAGTAGGGGAGAAACACTGTAAGCTTGGCAGGGTGGGGTGGGGGGTAAATATCCTGGCTTCTGGCTGTGTTCTGTGCTCCTGCTCCCCACCCCACCAAGCAGGCTCAAGCATTAACATCTGGGCAAAGCCCAAAACAGCCACCCCTCCCCAACCCCATGCCACCTCACCAGGGTCCGCAGCCAGCACTCCTCGCAGTGCACATGCCAACACTGGATGGACGTTAGGGGCATCGAGTATGAGTCCTAGGGAGAAGGTGGGCAGAAAAGGGGTCACTCTGAGGTTGGCCCACCCTCAAAAAAGGAGAGATCACAGCACAGAGACCCTCTCCAACCCCAGGGGGCACTGAAGCATGGAAGGCTCCCTGTCCTTGCTCTGACCAAGGGCACGCTAGGTGCCCTCCACTCACCATGCAGATGAGGCATTTGTAGCGGTCCCCACGAGATAGCTGCCGTTCAAGCTCCCGGACCCGAGCCTTCAGGGCTTCAAATGTCGTCACAGCTGAATCTTCGGTGATTCTGTAAAGAGGACCGCGTGGTTGGGCAGCACACTGGAATCCCCAATCTGAACCTCCAGCCCCTATCTTCCTTGGATTCTAGAACCACATATATAAATGTCTCCTAGACATCCTTCCTGGCCTCCCACCCCTCAGATATCCCGTATCTGCAAACTCCACATCCCAGAACTGAACTCCTTACTCTCCCTGTTCCTCCTGCAGTTTCCATCCTAGTGAATTTCTAAACCAGCTACCTGGGAACCATTCTTTCTCAGTCACCTCCAACACCCCAAATCTGCCATCTATCTCCTAAATGTCCCTTTCCACCCCTAGTACCACTAGTCCAAAAACGAAAAACCAAACCCATTGCCACTGAGTCGATTCCAACTCACAGTGACCCTACAGGACAGAGTAGAACTGCCTCAGAGTTTCCAAGGAGCGCCTGGTGGATTCGAACTGCCAGACTTTTGGTTAGCAGCCGTAGCTCTTAACCACTACACCACCAGGGTTTCCACCACTTGTCCAGGCCCTCATTTCTTCTATGATGACTCCACTAACCTTTCAAATAGCCTCTTTGCCTGCGGGCCCATCATCTCCATTCTATTCTCCTAGCAGTTAGAAGAATTTGCATTCTAAAATGCAAATCTGATCACTTCTACTTCCAACATATCAATAGCTCCCTCAGAGTAAAACTCTACCAAACTCCATAACAAGGCTTATAAGGCCCTCCTTGGTCCAGCCCCAGCCAGCAGTATCCCTCAGCACCCTGCCACATACTTTATGCTCCATCTACACTAAACTACTGTAAGTCTCCACACACAACACCATTTTTCACCCTCTTGGCCTCTGCACTTTCTGCTGCTTCTGCTTGGACTGCTCCACCTCCTAACTAGCTCTGCCTCATCATTCAGGCCTAGATTAGTTACCATCTCCTCCCCGAAGCCTTTTCCAACCCTGCCAGCCAGCACCACCACTGGTGGCTACCTCTTCTGTGCTCTTACAGCACCCTGAGCTAACACAATCACAGCAGTGACAGTACTGCATTAGAACTGCAAATGTCTTTGTTTCCTGCTAGACAGAGTTCCCTGAGAGCAGGCTGCGCACCCAAGCAATATTTACTATGGATATTACCCCATGCTAGGCTTGGAGTGTGAGGAAACATTTGCTGAATAAAAAGCCAGTCCAACCAGCAGGGAAAGGGTGAGAGTTGTAGGGACTGGATGAGTCCTGCATAACCTAGGTCCCTGGGCCACAGGCTTGGGCTACCCCAAGAGCTCCTTGTGATTTCCTCCTGGGCACATCGATGCCCTGTTGCCTTTAGCTGTTCTCCAAGCCCTGCACAAGCACAGTCCCTACAATTTCCTGAGGACTCACTGGGCTGCAGTGCTGAACATGGACTAGCTAGGACTATCTGAAGGAGTGACACCCACCTTCCTAAAACAAGGGAACAGGACACAGGAGGTACAAGTACTTGGTAAGCTCACAAGAGGGAGAAAAACACTTCCTGCAGCAGAAAAGATAGCACTGAAGATGGGCCTTAGGGAATAATAGTGATGATAATACAAACAGCCAAAATTTATTGAGCACATACTAAATGCCAGAGATTATACTGAGAGATTGATAATTATTTTATTTACTCTTCACAAAAGCCCCATGAGAAGATTCTAATATCTATATTAAGAAACTAACACACAGAAAAATTAAGTAGCTTGCCCAAGGTTCACACAGTAGGGGGGAGAGGTTTGAAACCCCGGCAGACTGATTCCATGATCAATCGTTAATTGTGTGTTATTAACCACGATACTGGATGTACCCAGGAGGAGACAGGTCTCCAGGTAGAGGAAACAGCAGGAACGGAACAAAGGCCAAGAGGCCGAAGAGTCTCATCTGGCTGGAAGGCTCACTTGCAG